ATTTGATGAATAAATATTCACGATTAATATAATGCGACGATGATCGCAATGGCAAACAGCGATAAGCTGATGTTTGCACATCACATAAATAATATTCTGCGCATCGCTACTGCATTTAGCTACTGGTTTAACTAAATTGTGGGTGCTCATTAAAAAACTAAAAGTGTGAATAAATGCCCAGTTATTTCACATTTTACCAACTTTTGATAAATATATGTTCTCGGTCAATACAGCACAATGTTAAATGCTCCGACAAATAGCTTTGCGTGTTGTGAATAAGGTGCAATCTATCATGAGCCTAATTTACATAAAAAGATTTAAACAGTCACAAGACGGTCTTATTATATTAAATAAATTGGTTTGTGGGTGGTTGTGTTTTTGACAAAAGTGACAACTGTTTAGCATCGCTACTTTAGCGCATTTAGCTTGACGTTTGCCAAGAGTGGGCTCATCTAAATAAATAACACTTTATGAATAAATATTCATGATAAATATAACGCAACGATAATCGCAATGGCAAATAGCGATGCAAGTTGTGAAGAAGGTGCAGTCTATAATGAGCCTAATTTACATAAAAAGAGGCAATAAAATGAGGCACTTTAAAACATAACATTCACTGCGCATCGCTACTTTTACATATTTAATTATTGGTTTAGTTTAGTTTAGTTTAGTTTTTACTGGTTCAACTGGATTACAGGCGTTCTTTAAAAATCCAAAAGTGTGCTCTATATAAATAAAGTTTTTACAAATAAATGTTCACCTGATCAATATAATGCAATGTTAATTGCGCTGGAAAATAGCAATGCATGTTGTGAAAAAGCTGTTGTATATAATTAGCCTAATTTACACAAAAAGAGGAGTGTTTGCACAAAGAATATTCACTGCATATGGCTATTTTAGTGCATTTAGATGATTATGGATTATGGGTGCACTTAAACAGCCAAAATTGTGCTCGTTTGAATAAACAGCTATAATTTCACACTTTACCATCATTTGAAGAATAAACGTTCACATGATTAATATAGCGCAATGTTAATAACACTACAAACAATGATGCATGTTCTAAAACAAGCCTCATTTACATAAAAAGTGTGTTTGTGATTCAAATAATGACAATTTAAACATTCGTATTACAGTGCAATTTTAGCGCATTTGGTTAAAGTTAGGCTACAGTGATTCATCCCCAGAGGAATTGAACTGTTAATCATATTGACCAACATCATGATACGTGTTGCAGATCACAGCTTTTTGAAGAACAGTAAAGCACTCTGATGACTATTATCCATATTATGCATATTAATTGATTAAATATTTAATTCATTCATTCGCACACTCACTTATATTTAACTTTATTGTCCTCTTTAGATTCTGAAGCAGTCCTTAGTTATTCTTTTGCACTCCTTTCACCATAATGTTATCATAGGGTGAACTGTCCTCTTCCTCGTTGTCCTTCTCCTTTGAAAGCAAGGCCCTCCTGGGAGGTTTAGGAACAGCATAGTCGTCGGCAGAAGCATTGTATGGGTACTCATGACCGCTCGGATCCATTACTGTACCCAACATCTTCCAAGCATGACCTTTGACCTCCTCCGGTTCATCATAGAGCGATGGAGGCACACTTGGGGCCACACCACAACCCTCTGGTTCATCATAAATGTGCTCCACTCGTTTGTAAGAATATGTTTTTCTGTTTGAGTAACGGGTTCTGATTGCAGTTTCATCTATAATGTCATAAAGTGGTTCTGTGTTTTCTATATTGCCTTTCTTGTCATTTTCACAACTGGGTTCTACGAACATGGGTGGAGGGTTTGATGCAGACAAAATGTCTCCCATAACATTCTTGGCAATGGTGTCAAAGGGCAGTGAGTAGTCAGAGTCCTCAGGGTTGGAGCATGTGGCACGTCGTTCTTTTGGTTCTCTCTTCTCCCCTGGACTTCCCCGATCTGGATCAGGGGCCATGGCCCGGGAATACATCTCATCCTCACTGTTGACCAAAGGACAGCTGCGGAAGTTCTTGACCTGGCTCTTTCGCGGTGGAGGCCTGGTGTCCAGGGTCAGACTCTTGACTCCGGTCAGAAGTTTCTCTGCAGGGGCTTCAAGTCTGGTTTGCTGAGGATTCTGTGGTTGTTTGGGTCCGTCTCTGATTGCTCCGTCAGTCACCACACTGTAGATACCTGCATTCTCTGCCACAGCTCTCATTTGAGGTGAAGGGGGCATGGTATCTCGCTCCCCACTTGATATCTGCTTCTGAGGTAAATTGACTTTGTGTAGATTGATGGCGGCCTCTACAGATTGGAAGATGCTGTTTCCTTGCTTTGTGTCGAACTCAAAGTTGCCTTCCCCCGAGTCGCATCTTCGCCCAGCCTCAAAGGAGAATGTTGCCTGTTTGTTGAGAAATTATACATTTAATTAGTAGTAAGTAGTAAAAAGACGCCAAGACACTAAATTTCAATTTAATCTTCACAAACAATGCATGTACAATACCATCCGAAAGTTTGTGGTCAGTATGATTTTGTAAATGTTTTTGAAAAATGTCTCTTATCCTCACCTAGGCTAAATTTATTTGATTGAAAACACGGTAAAATGGTAGCTAAGCCTCACCCTGTTTTTCTGCACATTTTGAAGGATTGCATCAGAAACAAGTGATGGAAACACCTAATTTCGAATAAAGAAATGTACATAATTCTGAAAAAAGTTTTTACGCTCACTTGAGGCGGTTTTTGACTTGTGCAAATAAAGAGTTAATGTATATAATGACAGATGGAAATACATTTGCCGAATAAATTCTGACGTAGCGAACATTAAAGCCATGCAACTAATCGTCTGTTTCAATATATTTTAAAATGTCATTTGTGACCCTGGGCCACAAAACCAGTCATAAGGGACAATTTTTTGAAATTGAGATTTATACATAATCTGAAGCTTTCCATTGATGTATGATTTGTTATGATAGGACAATATATATAACTATTTAAAAAAAAAAAGCAAAACAATCAAAATAATGAGGAAAATCACCTTTAAAGTTGTCCAAATGAAGTCCTCAGCAATGCGTATTACTAATCAAAAATTACATTTTTATATATTTACGCTAGGAAATTTACAAAATATCTTCATGGAATATGATCTTTACTTAATATCCTAATGATTTTGGCATAAAAGAAAAATCGATAATTTTGACCCACACAGTGTATTGTTGTCTATTGCTACATGCTACTTATGACTTGTTTTGTGGTCCAGGGTCACATTTATCCCTGTGATGGCAAAGCTGCATTACTTCAGTTTTAAATGTCACATGATGCTTTAGAAATAAATGTATATCATCAATGTTGAAAACAGGTGTCATATTTAACATTTACAGTATGTGAAAGCCATGATGCATTTTTGCAGGATTCTAAAATGTATTTAAGATACAAATCTTTTATTTAATCTTTTAACAGTCTGACCACAATAAAAGTGCCTGCCAGGATTGAGTAAAATGTTTTCATAGTAGGAGTTTATCAGTGCAAAGTCCTAACAAAATTATTTATGCTGATACTGTTTGCTGCGGATACTGATAACTTTGCCTTGGGCATTCCTAAACTGTTAGTGGCAACATTCTTTCTGGCATTTTTTTTTTCACAAGGGAATCTAGATATTACAATAACATCTCATTCAAATGACAACGTCTTTTTACAGTTCAATATCCCCATCACTCTACTGGGGCATTATGAATGACAGAGAGCACACACCTCACTAGCTTTAACTGAATGACTGCAGATCACTGTCAAAGCCATACCTTGTCTCGTCCGAACCTGCGGAGGAAGCGATAGGGCCAGGAGTAGAGAACCTCTCCCGTCTTCGGTTCCTTCAGAAGGAGGCTATCAAAATCAGTCCGTAACAGCACTGTTCCTTTCAGGCTGCATCTCTCAGAAGCCTCTGTACGCCTCACCGTCACCTTAAAGTCTTTCATTGCTGAAGACAACAGAAAGGAAAAGCTTTACATAAACAGTGTGCCAAAAGAACACAACATATATCAACCACTTGACACTTTTTCAGATGAAAAATAACCATGGATACAGCACACTTGTGGCCTACTGAAGGCTTATGAGTGTCTTTGCGGTTAAATCTTTCAAAACATTTAAAAAAAACTGTATTAGGAACTACATCTGATGGGTAAACACAAATGGGGTTCTATAATCATAAAAATTTATAACTATGTAATAAATTATATAATATTTAAAGCCTTTTCTCTGTGAATGAATATACTGATTCAACTCTTTTTGGAAGCAGATGGAACGTATCAGAGGTCATTCTCACATATGTACAATAATTCAAAGCAGATTTCTTTTCATGCGATGTACGCAATATAATTGGTTTTTCACACAAGTGTACAGATTTAGCACATGCACTACTGAGAAACAAGCATCTTATTCGATGTTCTCGGTTAGGAAAGGTCAACACCCCATTCGTTACTGCTGAACTGCAGGGTGAACCGTGTGGCGCAGGATTCTGCTGCTGCTCCAGAGGGATTGTCTATTAAAGGGCTAGCCATGCAGATGTTTTTCTGCGTGAAGCAGACATGGGTGATGAAACTCTATTAATTTCCTGAGGTGAAGTGTCAGAAAGAGATTTGAATGTCATTCAGTCCAAAAACAGTCGACCCATAACAGTGGGCTATTAATTCAGGCTTTGCTTAAATTTAATGCAAATTTGGATGTTTCTCAAAGTCCGTATAGCAGTAGTTAAAATTACTCTGAAATATTTCCTATTATTATTATCCTTCAGAATAAATTTTAAAAATTATAATAATATTTGGGTGTTTAATTTTTGTCAAACGTTTTCAGGACATTTACAATTTTTATGTAAAATAGTGGAATCTCAATGTTTGGTATCCAAAATACAATTAAATAGATATTAAAAGATTTATTCATACATTTAAATATTTATTTATATATTAAAAATGATGTAAATATTATTTTAATTTGCCATAGCAAGTTTGATTTGGAATCTAAATGTAATGCTGAATTTTTTTCATGTATTTAAAAACATAAATGAAAAAAATTTTTGAAAGTGTTGGTCTGGAACAAGGATAAACAATACAATCTATAAATATTGTTAAAAGTATATATATATATTCCGTTTTCATTTCATTTTATTTTATTTTATTTTTTTGTAATTCTGTTGTGTGTTTGTTTATTCTTTATTTATTTATTAGCATTTTTAATATAATGTTGTTTTTGTTTTTTTACTCCCACAGTTTTAGTTCAGCTTCATTTATTCAAGTAAGTGTTATTTTAGTATTTCAACTTCAGTTAGCTACCAGGGCAATATTTCTAAATTTAATTTAGTTTCGGTTTTTTATCTAATATTTAAATTTTATTTCATTGAAATATTTTATTTTGGCTCTATTTAAAACAACAAAAAATGTCTTTAACAGTTTTAGTTTAAAATAATAACCCGGGAATAAACATCCATTTGCATGTTTGTATAATGTTTTGTCAATTCATTCATTCATGTTACTGTATTTTCGGCTTTTATTGAATAGAACAGTATAGACAAGAGAGGAAACAACACTGAGGAGAGAGAGCGGAAGAGGATCAGCAGAGGACCTGGAGCCGGGACTTGACCTTGGGTCGCGAGGTGCAGCCGTGCATGTCATTGCTTCAGGCCATGCATTGGCATAGTTATGCGAAACTCTTTTGCATAATTATGCCAATGATCATACTAGAAAGGGGAAGAGAAATAGAGAAAGACAAAGGCTGCGATGTGGTTTGGAGGTATCTTTTTTCCATTTGAAACGTGGCTCCTCCAGCCACAGTCAAACTTCATTGAGAGGACGTGTGTCTCTGCAGAGACAATGCTAGCTTCTGTTTGCAGCTGTCAGAAGAGAAGCAACCACTCCACACCTCTCAGCAAATGAAAGAATGGCACTTTCTGCAAAAGAACAAAAAAGCCACACTATATACAGACTAGTGTAAAAATGAGACTCATTTCCATATTTACATCCGGTTGTCACTGAGCAACAAGTGGTAAGATTCATATGCAAGATTCTCTCTGTATTGCTCTACATTTGGCAATGCACCAAATTCACAGCAACTGTTTTGTGGTTGTAACCCCCCATTTCCACTTACTTTCCACATGACCTCATTTGCATAACACACTCTCATACTTTATCTCTTTCTCCCTCCAGGTGTGCGTTGTGTTCAGGAAGTTGTAAAATCGTAAAAAGGTACATTTGACGCAAACAGTGCATTTCATGTAGACATAAATAGAGTGGGCTCTAAAAGTCTGAGAGCTCTTTCAGTGTAAGATGCACAGCCCCGTTACAGCATAAACAGAGGATTTGGCATCCAATCAAGTTTACTTGTTTACTACAAGTCACTATCCACCGGCTACTGGTCAAGCATATGGTTACCATCAGCAAGAGAAACCCTTATTTCTTCCAAATATGTGACCCTGGACCACAAAACCAGTCTTATGTCACTGGGGTATATTTGTAGCAATAGCCAAAAATACATAGTATGGGTCAAAATTATAGATTTTTCTTTTATGACAAAAATCATTAGGATATTAAGTAAAGATCATGTTCCATGAAGATATTTTGTAAATTTCCTACTGTAAATATATTAAAACTTAATTTTTGATTAGTAATATGCATTGCTAAGAACTTCATTTGGACAATTTTAAAGGCGATTTTCTCAATATTTAGATTTTTTGCACCCTCAGATTCCAGATTTTCAAATAGTTGTATCTCAGACAAATATTGTTCTATCCTAACAAACCATACATCAATGGAAAGCTTATTTATCCAGTTTTATCCAGTGATGCATAAATCTCAATTTCGAAAAACTGACCCTTATGACTGGTTTTGTGGTCCAGGGTCACATATAGTGTTTTAGTCACAAAATATTCTTTCTTAATTTATCGAGGTAAAGCTTTTACATTATTTTGAATGCAAAGTAATCATTTGTGACACTGACTGATATTTTTTCGACAACAAATGGATAGTCTAATTGGTTTGGGGACTGTATTTTTATTTATTTATTATTATTCCTTTATTATGGATACATTAAATTAATTAGACATACATTTATAAATGTTACACAATATTTCTATTTCAAATAAAAGTTGTTGTTTTTTATCTGTTTTCAACACTGATATTACTAAGAAATGTTTCTTGAGCAGCAAATCAGCATATTAGAATGATTTCTGAAGAATCATGCGACACTGAAGACTGGATTAATGGATTAAAATAAATTAAATCAATTAAAATTTAAAATATATTAAAATAAAATAATCATAATTTCACAATATTTTACTGTATTTTTGTTCAAATAAAAGCAGCCTCGGTGACCATAAGAGACTTTCAAAAACATTACAAATCTTTTTTAACTATAGTGTAATTTTATTCTGTTCAGTGATAAGTGTCAAATCTGGCATCAGAAATAAATTGGCGGAGTCAAGATGAGTGATGCTTTTCTGACCTCCTAACACTACTGTTTTTGAATTGTGTTGAATTATGTGGTTTCATATACTATGCGATCTGCTGCTACTTGATGTGGTTTACCGCTTTTTAGTATCACTAATTTCGCCATAAGGTTTGATTCATTGACGATTTTGTGTTTGTTGTGAAAACGTTGCATCCTGGTGTAAATATCTGTATGTGCTGTAAATAAGCAGTGGTTTTACAGCCTTACAGTTCCCCTCCGATCGCTGAAATCCTCGCACACCCTGTTGCCCTGCTGTCGCTTGACAGAACAAGGCCTTCTGATATTTAAATTGAAACAGATGGATTTGATAAACCGTCTGAATGTGAATCTCCCCCAGGCCCGACACATTCCAGAGAGGAAAGAAAGCAACAGAATGCTGAAGCTCACACAGACATATGGGCCAACTTTTTGTGGACTGAAATAAGTCAATTAGTGTAATGAGATCATTTAAATGCCATTTCTGAATGCGGGCAAATATAGGAAGACAATCAGCCATGATTAAACAGTCAGGGTTGTGTTCAAATACCCAGTGAAGTTAGACTGGCTGGGGCAGATTGCCTGGCACCTGTGCTGCATCAGTGATATGTGTTTTTGTACTTCCACTTCTCTTGACTGTCATCCTGCTGAAAGCCACAATGTGAAACATGTCCACTGAGGACTTCTATCTGTCTTTTCCATCTTTGGGGACGCGTTTTGGTTATTTTGTGTTTGTGCATTTGTTTAAAAAGTCTGTTTGCCTCTTTTTTAATTTGCACAATGTAAATGAACAGATGGAAGAAGAAACATGTACCAAGACTGAAGACAATGCAGAGAGTTCAATGGATTCCTCCAAAACAGATTCATGCAAAAACTACTTAAACTGAGGCATTTTATATTAATAAAAGCCTAAATTCCTCTATTAGCGTTAATGTTGAAAGGTTGAAATCATTAATGAAAATGCTTATAATTTACACATGAAAATACCATTGCAAAGAATATAAAATAAAAAATGTATGTATGTATATATATATATATATATATATATATATATATATATATATATATATATATATATATACACGTATATATATATATTAAAATTAATATTTTTATTTGGAAGAATGCATTAAATTGATTACAAATGTATAATAATTTTTAACATTACAAATGTTTTATCTAAATAAATGCTGCTCTTATGATCTTTGTATTCATCAAAGAATCCCAAAAAATGCATCACGGTCTCCACAAAAAATATTAATGAGCACAACTGTTTTCAACATTGAAAATAATAATAATAATAATAATAATAGATTAGCAGCAATTCAGCATATTAGAATGATTTATGAAGAATCATGTGACACTGAAGGCTGGAGTCATGGCTGATGAAAAATATATACAAAAAGTAATCAGTTATTTCAAATTGTTTAATATTTCACAATATTACTAGTTTTACTGCATTTTTTATCAAATAAATAGGTGAGCATAAGAACATAAAAACTTTCAAAAACATTTTTAAAAATCACCAAACTTTTGAATGGGTGTGTGTGCGTGTGTGTACGCGTTTTTGTGACAAATGAGGACATAAATTTGTATAATGACAAAGGTATGACAGGTATTACAAGGAGAAAAGG